AAAACATTTTATTTAGGCCTATCTATGGCCTTTAAAAAGTTGACGACTCTACATGTTTCAACATTACAACATCATCCTCATTGACCTGTATGTTATTTTTCATACACTCACGCTAAACCATTCAAAGGAAATCAATCCACATTCTTGCAGATATATTCGCCATACCTTCATCTCTATTTAATACTGCATGATCTTTTTTGTTTTATTATTTCTAATGATTCACGAATATTATTAGCTCTTATACTTTTAGGTTGAGTTAATATTAGTTTTTTCCCATAATATTGTGTGTTGTGTTTCCTGTACATGTTCTGCTATGGATGAATTTTCAGTTTTTTTATTTTTTGCATATCCCTTATGTTCATTTAAACGGTATTTTAAATTACGTTTTGTCTGACCAATGTAAATACTTCCACATTCACATTCTGTTTTATATATTCCAGTTTTTTCAGTTAAATGTATTTCTTCTTTCGTAGTACCTAAGATTTGATTCATCTTATTTATCGGTTTAAATATAGAGTAGAATATATTTTGTTTTTTGAACACTTTAAATAAACTAGTAGTTAAACCTGGAACATATGGTAAGATTAAGCCTTCCTTTCTAATTTTGTCATAACTAGGTTTTAAAGTACTAACTTGATCAATTACTATAGTATTAGTAAATTTCTTAATTGCCCTATCTATAAGATCTGAGTTAAAACCTCTTTCAACTGCTATATATTTAATTAATGACAATTCGTTTTTTAAATCATTTTGGTTAGTACATATCTTCAAAGCTCTGTTAACATAACTATAAAATGCAGACATTTTTTGTGACTTAAAATGACATGATTCTTGGTGTGTGGGCAAAAGAACAGAAAAGGGTTTCCGGTAAACTGATGTTACTAAATTACCTTGTACATTCCTTTTCACCAATACATCTAGAAAAGGCAAACTATTATTTTTCTCAATTTCAAACATAAATTGTATAGATGGTTCAATGCTGTTCAAATAGTAAGCAAACTCTGTTAATGCCTTATTACCATATTTCTACACCAAGAATGTGTCATCTACATACCTTATCCAAATATCAGGTTTACATTTTGCATTATTTATGGCTTTAGTTTCAAACACATCCATATATAAATCACATAATAATGGTGAGAGTGGTGATCCATAGCTAACCCTTCATTTTGTTTATAAAAATTATTGTTAACTTGAAAAAATGGATTCGTAACACATACCTTAGTTAAATTAACTATATCTATAGTTTCAACTGCTGAAATTTTGTTTTCTAGCAATTTTTTTTCAAAACATTTAATTGCATCTTCTACTAGAACTTTTGTAAATAGGGATACTACATCAAAATGATACTAACAAATCTTCCTTATTTAAGTTAAAAAATTTTATTTTCTCTACAAATTCTAAATCATTTTTAACTGTATATTTATTTTTATTTCTCAAAAACGAATACTTCTGA